CTGCTGAATGCTTTTGACCTGGAGGAAGGCTCTTTAACAGCAGACAACCTCAACGAGATGAAAGACTACCTCATGGCCACCTACCCACAGGAATATGCCCAATTAGCACCACAGATTAAAAACTGCAGTTTAGAAGCTGAGCTAGACACGGTGAGTTGCCACTTTATGTTGTCTCCTTTGCTCCTACTGAGCTCAGGCATCCCATGTGAGCCAGGAGCTGCCTGACCAAGGGCTGGGGATCATTTCTACACCTCAGGATGGGGCAGGGGCTCGCTTGGRTCATTAGCATCCAATGTCCATGCAGTTGGGATAAACCAGTGAAGACCTCACCAGCCTTTGCTGTGCAAAGCCACACCTTAGGTGCCCKTTGTCATGACACAGAGTCACTCTCTTACATCTTATGTCCTTTATCGAGCTGAGGAGCAGCCTGTGACTCAGTTTTTCCCCCTTGTCTCCATCAGGCTGTCCAGGGGACGGGACTGGCATTTATAGTCTATTCGGAAGCGATCAAAAACATGGAGGTGCCCCAGCTGTACTCYGTGCTCTACTTCTTCATGCTGCTGATGCTGGGCATTGGCAGCATGCTGGGGAACACGGCCGCCATCCTCACGCCGCTGACCGACAGCAAGGTCATCACCTCCCGCTTTCCCAAGGAGGTGATCTCAGGTGAGCACCGGCCAGGCTGCAGCATGAGCCACACAGGGAGYGTTGTGTGTCTGTGTCTGTGTGTGCAAAAGCTGTGGTGTCCCACTGTTGTTGAGCAGAGTGCCACTCTCTGACCTTGCGTGGATCAGGGAACAGCAAATATGCTGCTAGAAAGATTTGTCTGCCCTTGTGAAATCTTGCCCAACCTGTGCAGCATTTTCCCTTGGGAGCTCCCAAAGGACCAGGGCWATCATGGCTGTGCATTTACAGCCCTCCCAACACACCCCAGCTCCTTCAGACTGGTGTCTACTGACTGGTGRAACAGAGGGGACAGCACAAATGGCAAGATAGTAGAGTGATCTCTTGGATCGCCAGTATCCCAACTATGAACCACCTCAGTCTTTGGCCAAAAGAAATATGTGCTCCTGGTTGGGCAAGGAAATCGGCTGTCCTACCTTAAAAACTGTTTTAGCTGGATGTCCAGTGCATGCATGCATGACCAGGCTGTAGCTAAGACTTGGTTGTCTTGACCATGTCTGGGGTGATGTGCTGTGACTGCAGGTCTAAGGAGTGGCAGTTTAATGACAGTCACACATGCAGACACAGGTCTTCTCCAGAGGGGGCAAAAAGAAATCCTTCTCCTCAGAGAAAGCTGCTCAGCAGAAATCCCACCAGCTTTTTAGTCACAAGAACCGTGATATTTCCCTACACACACTTCCAGGTGTAATGGCAGGATCCCTGTATTATCCACGCAGGTGTTGTGTGTTTCATCAATTGTATAATTGGCCTGATCTTCACCATGGAGGCTGGAAATTACTGGTTTGACATCTTCAACGACTACGCAGCCACCCTCTCACTGCTGCTCATCGTGCTGGTGGAAACCATCGCTGTGTGCTACATCTACGGGATAAGGAGGTAAAASCTGGAGCCCTGCTTTCTTCACAGTAGGGGAACGGCCATGGGCCAAGAGCAAAAATACTGCCCTGGGCTAAATGTTTCTCTACACTAAGGATCAGCAAGGTGATGGGGGTCTCCCCTGCCCTTCCCCCTTCCAGGGCCTTGGCTCAGGGYTGTGAGGGGCCAGGCTGGGCTGACACTGTCTCTGCTGGCAGGGGAGCACTAAGGAGCTGTACACAAGGCTCCCTGCTCTCGGCTTTGGACTCAGGAGCCTCTTCTGCCCAAACTCTGTTCCTCCCATGACAGCAATTCAGCAGAGCACAAGAGTGTCAGGAAGTCTGGTTTCAAAGGTGGTCGCCTCACATATCATGTGTCTCAAAAATCAATCCTGTGGGTAAAAGGAAACTCTGGCATCAGGAAAATCTTTCAAGAGCAAAGGTGTTTAAAAATCGCTAAGGAAAAGGCTTGAGCACTTGCTTTGTTAGTCTGCCAGCACAGGTGTCCAGGCACACACATGGGTATTACCTCCTCGATGAGTTCAAAGCCTTCGAGTCAGATCCAGGTCTCTTGTGAGATTTTAGGTACCATTTCCAGTGTTGGTACTTTCCTCAAAGACAGTCAGACACCAGCACTGAGAACAACTCATCTGCACAAACCCAGCCATTTTCGCCACAGTACTACAGCATCATTGCTTTTGTCTGGCAGCTGACACCACTAATAATCTGAGCTTACACTTCAGGCAGAACTTTCTTGCTGTACCTGTTTCTAGCTACTCTCTGCAACTTGGGATTTTCTTGGAAGCCTCACTGTCTTTTCTGATTTCACCCTCACTGTGATTCTGGTAAGCCAGTTTTTCAGACAGCAGCTCTCTGCTCATTTGTGGTCAGCTGTACTCCGCTTTCTCATCTGACATACTCGATTCTGTAGGTGGTTTCTGAAGTAACATACACGTTTGGTTTTCTTTACAAAAATGTGTTTGGTTTTCTTTTGAACAGATTTGAGAAAGATCTTTACACCATGATTGGACGCAAGCCAAACTTGTATTGGAAAATTATGTGGGCTTTTGTTAGTCCACTGCTAATTATAAGCCTATTTATATTTTACCTCACCGACTATATCCTCACAGGAACATTGCAATACCAAGCATGGGATGCCACACAGGTAAAAGAGTTTTGGGTTTGGGCTTTTTTTCTTTTTGAACTTTCCTACTTTGGGCAACTAAACCACAAAAAGGCCTTCTGAAAGTCAATAGCTGGAGTCAGTGCCATCCCATAATTTTGTGGCAAGGAAAAMCAAGGAAAACTTGACCTAGTGATGATGCAATGATTCTGTTAAATTAAGTAATTTCCCTCTATGATTCTTAACCTTTCACAGAATTTAATTTCATTCATGTTGAAGASCAAAATATCATCTTTAAAAACACACTTTAAACAAAACCCCCCTACTTTCAAAGTGTATTCACTTTGAACAAAATTAGTGGTATTTTAATGGAACTGAGCTGCTGGAATAGTTTTCATGAGTTCCACATACATTTTTCTTCATGGCCAGAACACTTTTGTGAGAATACTGAACTGCGTATTTATCACAGAGTAATTACYACTGGATAAGTAATCACTGGTTTCATAACCTTTCGTGGAAATGTTTCCATCATGCAGAAACAAAGCACATAATTGTTTTCACGTCGTGAAAACCRATGGCAGGCCTGGCCTGTTGAGTGGGTGTCAGCATGAGCCTGCAGGCTCCAGCGGAGGAACAGAAGCCTGACAGAGGTCAAGGCCCAGCCACCTCATTAAGAARCACAAATCAAGCCAAGCCCTGCTCTTTACCAAAGCCTGCAGTTTTCCCCAATCCTGTTGTCAGCAGCTCTGTTCTTGTCAGGTTTCAGTGTGTATGGTTGGACAGAGAACGGCACAGAGGGCAGCTGCTGGTCTGCCATAACCTGAAAATGCTTGACAGCAGCTCTGTTTAGATCCAGATATACAGCTTTACTCCTGGCCTGACTCCGGGACAAATCCCACAGCTCCAACACTGCTTTTCTCCCTTGCAGGGGCAGCTGGTGACCAAGGATTACCCAGGCTATGCCCTGGCAGTGATCGGGCTGCTGGTGGCGGCATCCACCATGTGCATACCCCTGGGAGCACTAATGACTTTTATAAGGAAGAGACTGAAGAGGGAACGAGTTTCAACTGTTGCATGAAAGCTGACAACTGGATTTGGGAAGACCTAACCCCCGTCATCAGTGACTGGGCACTTCTGGAAGACAGCAGCAACCATTACTTGTAGCAGCTATTTATAGAGTTGAGAATGGTGGGTGCTATATTGACCAAAAAGTGCTCTTGGGAGGTTCCACAATGGTTTGGAAAAAAAAAAAAAAAGCTCTTCTTTAACAAGATGAAGCTTTAAAATGGCCTCTGTAAAAGAGGGGAGGAGAAGAGCAACTTACAAAATGCCAGCTAGCACAAATTAACCAGCGTATCAGCCCATTYCACATTAGGTTACTCTTTTCCACTGTTGTAGCACTGCCTGTGTGGAAACATGAGCAACCAAGCGTGTTCCAGCACCAAAGTATCAGGAAATACCCTCAACCATTCAAAACACTTAAGCATCCTCATTATTTGAAATGATATCTGTATTTCATCAACAAGTGAAGTCTGGCAATGAGAATGTGACATTTGCTTTCCTACGTGGGAGAAATCAGTAGGATGGCACTGGGAGATAAATGTAGCCAACAAGGCTCCTTTTATACTTGTGTCCAGCAAAGCAGTGAATATATATATTTATATATGTATATAGATATACATATGCACACATATATATGAGCTGCACAAGCTCTCCCACTTCCAGAAGTAGGCTTCCAACTCCAGTATGCAACTGTGCACTGTGCTGTACTTTGTATTTTCTAGGGATGCACTTTAAGTACACTAGAAGGTATCTGTGATAAAGCTGCTTTACAAGCCCCACCCAAACAAAAGTATGCCATATAATTAGCTTTGACAAAGTTCATATCCAGGTATTCTTTAATCATCAGATGTAACAATCCAGCAGTTCCATGGACCTGGTTAATTTCCCTGTGTAAATGTTTTATAAAGAAAGCAACATGTTTAAATTGCAAGCTTCATGTAATAGAAAACATTAAAATTATATCTACAAACYTTAAAAAAAGGTCGCTCTGAAGAACAATATTAGAGACACACTCATGGGACAGTGGTTCTTAACAYAGTGTCTTAACTATGTAACCATTAGAAGATGGCAAGCGCCTTAGAAAAGAGGGATTAGTTTCAAACATTGTTAAAGCACAACATAAGTCTCATTCTGGGACAAAAAGCAAAAGGAATTGTACAGCCCTCAGGGGTGGGTAATCTTGACACTGACAACCAACAAGATCCGTGTAGTCTACAACTGAAAGAAACAGGACATACCTGCCTCCCTCCCCAGGCTTTGCTAACAAAGGAAAGACACCTTTTCACATTTCAGTTTATTAAAAATGGATAAACAAGACCTGTACAAAATATAGCCAAAATTGCCCAGAATTTGGTAAGGGWTGCATGATGAGAAGTTATCGTCTTGGGCCTCCTCTTCCTCTTCCACGACCTCGGCCTCTGCCACGGCCTCTTCCACGGCCTCTTCCAGCAACTTGGCAGGTAAAAGAAAAAGGGTAAATCAAGTGAGACCAGGAATACTTTCATTTCCATTAAAACATTCTATATTGAGCAYAATCACCACATTGCTTTTTTGTGATAAGACATTCAGTTAGGTATTAAGTCTGTTAATGCTCAGTGACTTTCAGGTAATATTTTAATCTTTTGTGTTAATTTTTCCAGTACACATCTTCCACAGCCTACTATCCTTGGCTTCACTGCMGAAAACAAGGGCATGAAACAGTTGGCTGCTCCCAAATGACTGGATAATCTGACAGGAAACTACGATTCCTCTTTTTTCTACACATATACAGTTTGTTTTTTTAGAGGGAAATGCAAATTTTGACATGCTGTGAGACTCCCAAACTCATTCTGTCTTTGGCACCGGGTGGAAGGTGAGCCTTTTGAAAGGATCCCAACATCAACAGCTCCTACTGTTCTCAGTGATGCCCCTGCCAATTGCAGATGTGATTCTAARGCAAAGGTCTTGATTTCGTGTGCTCCCAGTTTTAATTACTGCTATTTAATTCTAAAGGGAAGACAGAATCATAGGATAATGCAGGCCACAAGCAACTGCTGAAGGCTGTATGAACTGTAAAGTGATAGTGTGCACCTCTTACTCAAAAAGGAATGTGACCCACCAGGCTGCAAAAAGATACTCAAAATTCTACAGAAGCAGGTGGCTCTCTAAGAGATACCCACTGGCATCCACATTCAAGCAGCAGGATGTGACAWTTATACTGGGATGTAGGTTAGAAATGCAGGAAAGACAGAAGGAGCAGACACAGGACAAATCTGACATAGGCAAAGYGTTGCTATTTGGCTGGTAATACACTGACCCTGTAAAATCTGTGAACTATCAGCCCCAGCTGGAGGATGACAGCAGCAGCAGGAAGTGTGCTCACCAAGCATCACCAGCATGCTTGGATCCAAGGTACATGTGGCACACACACCTCAGTCAGCATCCTGCCCTTCCCTGACAACTTCATTTGTCAAGGACAGATCAAGGGTTTGACACTTCTGAAGCCCAAGGGCGTTTATGGATTAGGGCAAAGCACAGCACAGCATTGGTCTGAGAGCACTTCAGTATAATAGCAGATGCAGGGAGGATCAGAGGTAAGTGAAGCTATCACAGCAGCTTTCCCCAAAGCTAACTCAGAGTAGGGATGCTTCTGCTCACACCGGGAGGTTCAGGAAAAAGCTATCCAACCACATTCATTTCTCCATGTGGTCAGATTGATGAGAGGAGCAGAGCCACTTTGGGAACTTTATCCTTATTCTCTATGAATAAGGAGTCAGTAAGGTGAACACCCTGCACACCCACACTCTTCAACACAATTACAGGAGAAATGATAGAATATGATTTTAGAGCACAATTAGCTTTCACTTACAGCTCCCTGTTTTAAAAACACAGATTAACTACTGGGCAAAATATATAAAGCTGCAGATTTCCTGGGGTTTACTGGATACTCATCTTTAATAGTGTGGATTAAACTTGAGTTACTGTCTATACTGTTAGGCTTCTAAGGAAAAGGATTTTTATTCAGCAGAATTTTGAAASAAAGTTCCAGGAAGACAGAGACTGGAACACTACTGGGAGCCAAAGCTGGAGATCTGTTCACTGGAATATAACCTAGACTCTCAGGTTTTCAACTGTCTCACATTCAGTTCTCAAGAGATACCATTTTTATCCCCCACCAAATTTCAGGGAACCATTCAGCAACATTTGAGATACTGTTCTATATTTATTATCTACGTGAAACTCCCCATACAAACTGGGGAAACACAGCAGACATCCTGTGTGGATGAAGAGGAAGTGTAAATCTCTTTGGTGCCAAGTGTGAGACTCAGATAGGTTAAAACTTGGTCAAGCTGATAAACATTCACATTTTTAAAAATAGATGCATGAAAAGCCATAGCACAACTTTATTTGAATTAAAGCTCTGCCAGATGCCAAGGAGGTGGGCAACGCAGACTGAGGAGTGCCATGTCAAACCCTAAGCCATGAAGGMATTTAATGCCAAATGCAGACATTAAGAACTCAAATCAGACATCTTCAGACTCACAGTACTAAAAAGCACACAAAAGCAGACCAGACACAGACCAGGAAAGCACAAACTCACCCGCTTCTCTTTTCTTGGATTTGACTTTTGGTTCAACATCCACTAGCAAAGTATCCAGAGGCAAACTGTCTGGCAGAATGAAGTAGCGGATGTTATTCCCTCGAATACTCAGTGTCTCCAGCTGTACAGGCTCTCTGTTCTTCAGCGTCATTTTCACTGCTTTGAGATGCGTRTTCATACTGACATCCACTCCTGAAACAAAACAAGCCAGATTTCAGGGATGAACTGAGATTTATCCTGCTCATCAACACTGGCTTCTCCCACTCATGAATTACTTCAGCCTCTCACTCAGACTACATCTCTTTTTCTCTCTTGAATTATGCCAGGTACCAATTGCTGTTTTTAGCTCCTCATGGTCAGAGATCTTTATCCAGGTCCTMGCAAAAGCTGCTTTGTAAATGGTTAAAATAATTCCTCTTAACAACAAATAAACTACTGCTTAYTACTGACTTCCAATACTAACTAATCTTTAGTCCTTTAGAAATAAGTAAAACAAACACTGGAGTAGGAAAAATAACCGGAATCATCTCCTTTTCTATAAGCCTTAGGAAATCAGACTGCAAAAGCAACATTTATCTTCTGATAAAATACATCCAATACCAGAAGGAGTTCTCTATGCAAGTACATAAAATRCCCCACTGCAAGGAACAACCACTGTGATCACAAACTCTGGGAACAGCTGGTATGCAAGAACTGTAAGGAATCAACACAGTGCGGTAGTGCGCAGTACTATGGATAACCCAAARCTGGAATAAAATCTCAGCTGGATGCATGTACTGTGTAACACCCATAAGAAGCAATAAAAAAAACCAAAAACCCAGAAGTTTTTATTTTGTATATCACAAACTTTACGTGGGATCTGATCTCCAGCTGATCAAAATGACAGTGACTTCATTTTTCTGTCCTCTCCCCTCCTTCTAGATTTTACACAGTCCCCACYGACCCAGTCCCTTGGTTGGTGTGAGGGGCATTACAAAAAATGTGCCCCTTCATCCCAGCTCYTGCCCTGACCAACCCAATCCATGGGAGGAAGAGATTGTGCAATCTTTTCACAGGTTCTTAGCAGAAAATGAGAGAGGCTTTGCTCAACAATTAAGCCTGAAAGAACAGSGAGGTCAGGAGCCCAGCAGTGTTTGCTTCCCATCTGGCTGGGTTCAGCAGAGCATGCTGCAATCGGACACTGAGGTGGCTCACTCAGCTCTAATCAAAGCTGATGGACCTGGCTGCAAATTAACGCCGGTTTTCAACTCTGCCAAATCCCCACAGATTGCTGCTGGCCAAAAAAGCACCTCAGCAATCCGCTGGAATASAATTCAAATTTAACAGAATTGTATTTTTTTCCCAGGAATGTCTAGGCAGAACAACTTTCAATAGTCGCCTGAGGGTGAGTTTAGGAAGGGAGGTGGAGCATCCTTCTCAGCTCACCAAGGCTTGCCTCATTAAACACGACGGGCCCCACCTACATCATACCTGCTGTCTTTAAGTAAAGCTCACAGGAACACTCTCCAAGCAATGTCCCTCACTGACATTATTAAAGCAAACAAAATAGTTTGCACATGTTTTAAAACGTGAGAACTGCATAATGAACTACAGAATTCCCGGCAACTTCCAGCTCAGTGATACAAAGAAGCACTTGGTAATCAGTAACACAAAACCGACTTCTGGCAACAGCAGGGGAGCAGAATCCCTTGGCCAAAATACCTCCTTGCCCTGTTTTAAAGCAATCTCATGAAATCAAACATGTGTCAATATGCATTTCCATCTAGGTTCACCTTAACAAAAAACGTGCTAAACGGAAATAATTAACTTTATTTTTTACATTAGAACCGCCTACATATAAAATTTAACCAATATAAGACCACATTAGCTGGAACTAGTTGCCCAGAAAAGTGGTGGGTGCTCCATCCCTGGCAGTGCTCAAGGCCAGGCTGGATGGGGCTTTGAGCGACCTGGTCTAGGGGAGGTGTCCCTGCCCATGGGAGGGGGTTGGAACTGGAAAATCTTAAATATCCCTTCCAATCAAATCATTCTGCAACGCTGTGATCGGGCTGCTAAAGAAAATACCAAGCAAGATTTGGAAGAGCTTGTTTCCTTCCCCCTGAGCCTGTCTACAGATAAAAGCCGTAGCTGGGCTCAGAGGGTCCCAGTGCTACAGCGAATTTACAACTCCCAGCAGAACCTTTAAAATAAGGAATACTGATCACAAAATACACSCCCAGCGCCGGTCTGACCACACGTGGACTCCCCCACCACTACACATCAAAGACAATCTGTGACCCACCGAAATTCCCACGTATATTCGTGGTTGCCTATGGAGAGCTGGTCACAGCTCCCCACTTTTCCCAGCAACTTCCGACAATATCCAGACACTTCTGTAACACAAACACATCTCGCGCTTGCACACAAAGGTATGAATTACAAAGCCCATCTCCTGCATTTTCCTGTGCCGGTCCCCGCAAGAGGGAGCACAGGACAAAAAACTCATTCAAACCGCGACTGCCAATTGTTTGCCGAAAGGCATCGGGGAATATTTTGCTGCATCCTCCCATCCCGCCGTACCTGTAATCGTTCCATGCACCTGCGTCCCATTCTTAAGCTCAATGGTCACAGTCTCATGGCTCAGCTTCATTAGAAACCTGGGAATTAAAAACTCATTTAAAAAAAAATCCGAACCGGTTCACTCCCCCATAAAGCCGTGCGTGCTCGACACTCTGCACCAAGCATTTCCGCATCTTGAGCGCCCAAAGACGGCGTTCATGGATTYTGCTGGGGATGTTTAGTGACACACTCCACGTCCTGCCCAGCCACCGGGAACTGGGATCGTTGAGTGACAAAGYGCCGGATTCACCATTTACTTCCAGGCGAAACGCCATTATTGTACAAAGAAGGAACCATTTTAAAAGCCGTTACAATCCCGGGAAAACAACGCTAACTCAATCCGGGGGGTTCCCTCCAAAAACGGGGGGGGGGGTTTTGCGGAGCGACCCGCGCAGGCCGCGGGATGGGAGCGCGGCACAGCACAGCGGGGCCTCCCGCCCGGCCCAGCCCCTTCTGGGGCCGCTCCCGCCAGGCCCATCCCGGCCCCATCCCGCTCCGCTCCCGTTCTCAGGGGAGAACGCGGGGCGGCCCCGAATGCGCGGGCTGGCCTGGCGCACCCGCCGCGGCCGGGTGCCGGCCATCCGCCTCCATCCACCCCCATCCGCGCCCACCCGCTCACCTGACGAGCTTCATGGCGGCGGGCGGGCGGCCCCGGGCGCGGAGCGGCGGCGGGCGGGAGCCCCGGGCGAGCGGAGGCCCCGAACGCAGCGGGGCGGAGGCGCCTCTCGGTCAGGCCGCGCCGGGCCTCGAGCGCCAGGAAGCGGCCGCGCTCAATGGGCGGGAGCGGCCGTGACAGCGCCCCCCAGTGGCCCGGCGGACCCTCCGCAAGCGCCGGGCCGCGCCTGATCCCGCCCGCAGGAGAAGACAGAAGAAGGGATGAGAATGGGGGGGAAGAAGGATGGGGGAAAAGAAGGATGAGCAGGGTGGAGGGGGGATAGGAGTGGATGATGGAAAAGAAAGCTGAATAGTGCCTGGCTTTTCGTAACGCTTTACAGCTACGAGCTTGACTGAATTAAAAACGCATTTTAGCAAAAAAACCCCAAAGAGTACTTAATTTTAAACCTTCGAGCTTAAAAGAAAGAAAAATCCAAGACCTAGAACCTGTAAAGCACTAATTTATTGTGAAAAACTTATCAGCTTCAAGATTCAGAATTGCAATAGTAACAACTTTCTGTGCACGCCTGAGTSTATTCACCCAGTGAAGAGGGGAAGGGAGAAAGACAGCTTGAAAARAAAGACAGCTGCAGTGCCTTTGTGAGGAAAGAGGCGCAGAGCCCTTGGCCCTGAGCAGAGGTGCCACCTGGGATGCAGCACTGSAGAATTCCATCCACAGTAGCTCTCTGACTTGAGATCCAGCCATGGCTGTGAGGAGTGGAACATCACACTGTGCACAATGACATCGAGCACTGCCTGAGATCACCACGGCTTGAGCACAGCAGAGTAACATCCTCCCCTCCAAAGACCAGATACAAAACTGAAGCATCCTTCTTAGGCACAAAGCAGTGCCTAAGGAACCATTTGGGAACAGTMTAATCTGCAGCACAAAATGCCTCTCAGACAGTACATCTAGAAAAGTTGAACATTTTATTGTCATTTAGGAGTACACCATTTGTGATTTTTAGAAATACAGACTCTGCAAAGCACTGAAATACAGGTGCCTTCCAACTTCTAAAACCTACATTATTCTATGTCTTACAAACCTTTTATATTAGCAWTTCAAGTTTGGTCTTTGCTGCAACAAGTTCTTCACCAAAGATGCAACAACTTAATTCTAGACTGCAAGACAACTGAGCCAAGTTTCAAACTCCACCTGCCAGTGAGCCACCAGAACCACTGCTTTCAAATATTGAGTCTATGATGTTCTTGTACTTTGTGCCCATGAGGGAGTTTACCTTTGAAAATTTTAAGTTAGGAGGATTTTCCAGTTAACCACCAACTGGTATTTTTCCATTACAGCATCTAGAAGCAAACGCATACTTTGCAAGTACCAGTGCTCATGAACAGGTTATGTTTACACAAAACCCAGAGAGGCCTCCAGAAACATTCAAGGCTAAAATGAACAGTTGCCCAAAAAAAAAAAAAAAAAAAAANNNNAAAAAAAAAAAAAAAGAAAAAAATCTGTACATATTTTCAGTCATAACACAAGGGAACACTGGAGTACCAGTGTTTTGTGTTCTAGCTTCAATAGTGACATCTGTGCTAGTCCTAGTAGTATTCTACATGTTTGTCCCTTCCCCCCATTTAAATTTTATATTCGCAATCTGAATATACAGCTGTACTTACAAGAAATATTAAACAATGCACAGCGCCTTAAGCAAGTTCCATGTCTGGTTTTGAACAAACCATATAAAATAAGTGACAAAATAGTTTAAAATTGGTCCTTATTTTTATACAGCTTGGAAGCACTAAATTTAAAGACACACATTARCCAGCACACATTAGTCTGCAGCTTTTTTTTTTTCTCCTTTTTTTTCTTGAAAGAGTGTGTTACAGTATCATGCATGAAAAGCAAGCTGCTGCTCCCAAGTAGAAATATGGAGTTTAGACTTAATGCTTTCTCCTCAGGCTGTTACTCCTCCTTTCATAAATTATTTCAACATAACCATGGATAGAAGCAGCTGACTAGCAAAACAATATGAAGTTCACCCTTTATGTTGTGACCCATTCTTAAAGTAATGAAGTACTTTGGAACTTTAGCATAAGGAAGGTTGAATAAACACTGCAAAGGACTTTTACATTCTTTGATTTCGTTTACATCTTCAGAAAGAAAATTCTACATTTTACTTTGCTAACTACTGGATTTTCATATGGAGACAGTATTACTGAAACAGTGCAAGACATTTGCAACTTCAGGAACATCCGATTAAACTGCCCTTTCACCCAAACAATGATTAGCAGAATATTGCATCAGTTCTAGATAAACAAGACAGGACAAAACCTCATTTTAGAATAGCGTTTTAGGATTCAAAATTCTTTCATATTTAGTGAAAAGAATCCACACACAAATATGCACGAAGGACTCCTTAACATAGACTTTATCACAACAAATGTAATCCAGCTGCAAGCCTGGACCTAGACTTTTTATTGGTACGAAGCCATAGTTGTTCAGAGACCACTATCAGATGTTCCATTGTTAATGCTTTGACATTTGGGTTATTYTGACACACAAACAGCATCAGAGCTCTCTCCTGTCAAGACCAAAAAAAACTAGCTGAAACAGCCCAGGTGGAGCATGAGCTTAAGCAGTCCACTTAAGCTCCAAAACASTCCAGACAGCAAAAAGCTGGCTTTTGTCTTTGCATTACTCCAGTAAGAGTGGAGCCCTGTCCACTAATGCAATATTCCAAAGACCATTGCAACTAAGACTGTCAAGTCAGGTCTCAGTTGAAAGCTACCACCACCACCGGACATGGTTTCCTTGCCCCTGACCCCCCMTTGCCAAGGATGAATGTTCATAAGAGTATTATTTGGTGTGGAAAGCAGGTCAGTAGAGACTCCAATTGTGGCTTGAAGAATCCTCAGTACCAAGCCGCTTTCCACACACACAAATTCAGTCCATCTTCTCTTTCTGGACCARCTTGGGCGCATCTACAAAATCCTTGCCATTGTAAAGGATGATAGCAAAGGTTCCAAAGCTGGCACTTCCCCAGAAAAGCACATAGGCCAGTGTCTCAGTCCATGTATCACCTGTGAAGAATAGCCAGATAAACCTTTTAGTTCACTATCTCCAATTACCAGAGAGTTCTACTTTAGTACAAATGCAAAATATTTCAAGCTCTCCCTCAGAGATCTGTTGTCAAATAAAATCAGAAGTCTTCCACAGATCTTTTCCTATTTTCTTACTTCGGAAAACTTGTGTTTACCACTCGGTTCTTGGAACACATTGAAAAGGTATCTACGGAAATCAGTCAAGAACTCTACTGGCACTAATGTTAGAAAATTCAGGGCAAAAGCAGAAGACAAAAACCTTCCCTGCTCCCAACACAGATTTAGATTAAAGGGACRTTGATCAGAAACAAGCTTATGCCTACATCTTACAGTTCTGAACTGCCTTTCTGCCCAAAATTAGACAGGTATTCCTCGGGGGCTCTATCCAGCCTACAATAAAGCTATGGCTCTACCACGGTGCATCTAAATTTGTGGATGATTACCTGTCCCTTAACTGACTTCTACATCAGTTCTAASATTGTTTTCTACAGTGCCTCACTTTTTTCCACATTAATGATACAATGCTAAACCTTAATCTCCAGAGCCATGCTCAAACACCTTTCAGTGTGATCAAGAGCAATTCTATACTGAGTAGTTACTGGTAACTAAGTTCACAAGAGAAATAAGCCAGTTTTATAAAATGAAACTCAATAGCGACTTACCAGCCATTAGCAAACAAATAATGCACATGGAGAAAGCAACCACCATAATAATAGGCAACTGAGGAAAGAGAAAAAGAATAATCACTTGTTACAGTAGTACATACATGCTCCTTAATTTCCTTTAATATGGGTTGTACTGCAAAGCTATTTACTTGCTTTGCAATGAACTTGCTTTATTTCTCAATTCTCCTACATACAGGTACAAATAAAAGTTTGGATGTTCCAAAATTTGTAAGTGTGTGCAGTAATTACATTAAGAATTAACATACACCTCCTGTGCATCGAAAGAGGTTGAGGCTTCTGCTTTGTTAAAATAAATTCACCAGTTAAACTCATTATGTTCTCAAAACCCATTTCCAACAGAAAGGGAACAGTGAAAAAAATAAAAGTGGGGTTTTTGTGTTACTATCTATGCTTCTGCATGAAGAGTGAAAAAAGAACACCACAAGATTCTTCTGCAGAAGGTAACAGTCATTAACAGTGACTAGTAGAATTTCCTTCCCCCTTTCCACCTTGTGAAGCATATTAAAAAAAAAAAACAAACTAGCAAGCAGCCATTTTACCAATACCTCAAGGACACTCCATTTTCTGCCAAGGGAACAGTCTAGGTTTAATCCTACAAGCAGGTATCATAGAAACATTACCAGGTTATAGGGATGCTTCATGACTAACAGACAAGTCTTATTTAGGCATAACGAAGCCAAGTGACTGAGCAGCTGCGTTTTTCTTATCACAAACAAAGTTTCCATACTCACAGCTAAGAACTTCCAATCTTTCTTGACATGCAGAGGACTAGCAGGTTCTACTTCATCCACTGARTAATTTCCAAGAAAAAGATCAATCGCATCCTGGAAGAGAAAGGGAGGACAAGAGTTACAATGCACAGCAATGTTTATCCATTACACTTCCCCATGGTTAAAAGCTTAACTTACTTGTCTAAATCCATCAGAAAAATTGTTTTTGTAGTAACGTATTAATGAGTTCCAGCCATCCATTATTAAGCCCCACTGAGTTCTCTTCCCAGTTCTGAAAAAAATTGTGAGAAATATTTAAAATAGATATATAAATTCAGGACTATAATTTCAGGTTTTACAGTTCTGTCATTAACCAGATGTATACTATGTTAAATGAACACTTGCACCAGAATGCATTTATCTAGTGTTGCCTCTGCATTATTACCACACATGCTTGTAACAAAGGAAACTAGGATGAAGCTTCATCCATCACACAACATAAATGTGTATCTTCATGGCACACTGCCTTGGTTTTCATTTCCAGATAGCCTTCACTTTCGTATGAACATATCAAAGAATGATGTTCTGTACCAACTGAACCATTGCAAAAAACTCATTTATGGCTTAAGCCCCAGGTTAATAACTTCTCC